AAGAAAAAAACCAAGGTAAAAAGTCTTTTTGCGGGGGGAAAAACCCCCCCCCCCCCAACGGGCACAGAAACATAGGAAGTAAAGGGGACTTAAGAAAGAAGGGGTGACCCCTTTTTTGAAAGTAAGGGGGAACCCCCTTTTTTTTGAAGAGGGGGGACCCTTCCCCAAAGGGGAGGGGACCTGGAAGGGAGGGGGGACTTTGGGGGAAGAGGGGGGAACTGGGAGGGGAAGGGAAACCCTCCCGAGAAAAAAGAAGAACCTCCCCCCGAGGGGAAGGGAAACCCCCCTTTCCGAAAGAGGGGACACTTTCCCGATGAGATGAGTAAAACCCTCCCGAGAGGGGGGGGGCCCCCCCCCTTGAGAAAGGAACTTTTTTGGGGGAAGGTGGGGAAAAAACCCCCCCCCCCCCCCTTTTTTTTGAAAAAAAAAAAAGAACAGTCCCGGTTTAAAAAAAAAACGCCCCCCGGAAAACAAAGGAACCCCACGGGGGGAAAAGGGGCCTTTGGGAGGTTTTTTTTGGCCCGGTAACCCCGGCCCGAACCAGGAAAACCAAAACGGGGGGAGCCCCCCCCCCCCCCTTGGGCCCCGTTCAGCCCGGAAAAAAGGGAAGTCCCCCCCACCCCCAAAAACAGGGTTTTTTGAAAAAGAGGAGGGCCCCCCCCGGGGGGAGGTTTACGGGGGGCCCCCCCAAATTGGGCCTTTTTTTTTTTTCTTTTTGGGCTGAGGCCCCCCGGTTAACCCCTTTTTGGGGGGAAGCCCCCCCCCCCCGAAAAAACCCCAATTGGCTTTGGGGCAAACCTGGAGGCCACAGAAAAAAACCACATGGGGGCTTTTTTTGCCCCCCCCACCCTTTGGGGAACCCCAGGAAAAAGAAAACTGGGAAAGGCTGGGGGGGGGACCAAACTGGGCCCCCCCCTTTTATTTGGCCCTGTGGACCCCCCCCAGAACAGAAGGCCCCCCAAGGGGACCCCCCAAATGGGCTTTTTTTGGTGTTGGGCCCCCCCCCCGGGTTTTTTTTCCCTGGGGGGGGGAAGCCCCCCCCGAAACCCATGGGACCCTTTTTTTTTGGTAAAAAAAAAAATTTGGGGCCCCGGTAAAAAACTTTTTGGGAGCCCAGGAAAACCCCATGGGGGGGGCCCCCCCCCCCCCCCCCCTTGCCCTTTTGGGGGGGATTTCCCCGAAACCCAAGAAAAGGCCCCCCCCCGGGGATCCAAAAAATGGCCCTTTTTTTTTTTTTTTGTTTAATGGGGGGCCCCCCCCCCCCCCGGGTTTTTATTTTTTTTCTGGAAGCCCGGGAAAACAAAAAATGGGGGGGGCCAAAAAAAAAATTGTGGGGACCGGTTAAAAAAACTGGGGGGGGAAATAGNGAACAGAAGCCAGGACCATGGCTGTGTGGGCCGGTTCTGGAGCCCGAACCATGGCTGTATGGGCCGGTACTGGAGCAGGAACCATGGCTGCTGGGATCGGAACAGAAGCCTGGATCATGGCTGTATGGGCCGGTTCTGGAGCCGGAAACATGGCAGTGTGGACCGGTACTGGAGCAGGGACCATGGCTGCTGGGCACGGAACCGGAACACGGAACCATGGCTGTGTGGGATGGTACTGGAGCACGGTACCATGACTGTGTGGGCCGGTACTGGAGTACGAGCTGGCTTCCTGACCTTGCGTCTTTTAGAGTTCTTTTGGAGGCTCCGTGGACCTCCAAATGCCAGGCAGGATCCCAAAAAAGGGTCAAAAAAATGGAGACTGGCACTCAGGGCTACGAGAAAAAACTCTGAGCCATTCAGGCAACGAGCTCCTCAACCAAGGCATGTTGGCCACCTCCATTTGTGCCTTTTTGAGGATAGCCTCTTTGTCCCTTCTAGACGAGGTTCCACTCCACTCGGCATGATAACATTGAAGGGAGAAATCCAGATCCAACAGATCCAACTCAAAATCATCAAAATCCGCTGGGTCCATAGTTGGTCGGTTCATTCTGTTCACAGTTACGAATCGCGGAAAAAGGCAGGACCCAAAAGCAGACTACAAAAAAGGTAAAAAAGGTAAACAAAAAGCGAGCTTTATTCAAAAGCCGATGACAAAAAACATGACAATGACATAGCACAAGGAAGAAACATACCCGAAAAACTGACCGTGACTGACATGGAGGAAGACAGGAAAAACAAACAATGAACCGACAGGGGAACACAGGGAAAGACAAGACTAAATACAGAGAGGGGTAATCACGGGACGAGAAACAGCTGGGCAGGGGAGGTAGAAACACAACACAATCAGACAAAGGAGGAAACACACAGGAAGGAAGACAAGAGACAGGGAGAACAGAATTACAAAATAACACCCATAACAAGACAGAAAAAACTTAAAACGTGACATAACATTTGGATCGTGACAGGAGGTTTACAAATGCTCCTGTAATGGGGGACATCCTTGCCTCTTTGCGATGGTTTGACTACAAAAACTTCGAGTTGTCGCATCCGCGTTTGTTTTTCATAATCCAACAGAAAATCAAATGGAGTACAGGCCTAACGCATAAAACTGAGAAATAGAGATAGTCTCCGGTTAGGTTTGTTAATGTTCACATCCAACACAAAATCCTGTAATTTTTGTTCGTACCAAAGTTGACTATATTCACTGTTGCGCACCACAGCAGCGTCATATCTCCTTAGTAACACCTCTGAAAGACTACAACAACAACAAAAAACTGTGGCAAAGGCGCCTGACTTTAAAGATACACGCTGCAATCAATGACTGTGTTTGGGCTGCAGGTCACTTATGTGACCTTTTCTCTAAATCGGTTATTTCGTTTTTTACGCACTCATATGGTTTTGGCCTGCTGGGCTCCGCAGCAGATGCTGCAGGTTCCCGCTGCTCCCGCGGTGTCTGCCGCCGCAGAAACCAGTTACCATTCACATATTGATTCCCAGCTCGACCCTCAGTGCCGCCTCGTAAGATCCCAGAGCAGTTCGTCTCGCGCAGGGGATCTGACAAAGCGTCACTGCAAGATGAGCACGAGGAAGGAAAGGCCTTAGCTCTGCTCCGCACTTTGAGAAGCTTAATTAGGATTCCACTGGACACAGACACTTTTTCACTTAGTCTGCACCTATTACCATGACCAGAAATAACAAGAGCTAAAAATCTGTCCTTATTATATTAGCCTATACTTTTGAGATACGTTACCATACAAACGTCTTTCAAAGCGTTGAGATGAATTTGAATAAATGTAGGGAACTAATGCATTGACAATAACTATTATTTCTCGATTAATATTACTTTAGAAAGTCTTGTTTTTGGCTCTTTTAATATATATCAAATGAAACCCACTGCCTGTTATTTGCCTAAGTGTAACATCGTCATATTGCTTCACTGATATTCACCTGTTTCTATACTTTGTGTCTCCCCTCCAGGGTTACGGCACCCATGACAACACACACACACACACACACACACACACACACACACACACACACACACACACACACACACACACACACACACACACACACACACACACACTGCCTTCCCAAGGGCCGATTTATGCAAGGTAATACAGTGTCCCAACTGAGAATAAATTAATTTAAAAATCGGTTTAGATTCAACCCTCCACAGCATCAGTGAAATATTTTGTATGCGAGGATTCAAAGGACGAGGTTGTCTTTTACAAGTGTTGCTCCTGGTCTAAAACATGTGTTTATTAAGACAAAAACGACACATGAAAGGGTAACATTAGGCCTATAGGTTTATATATAACTAATGTATCTTGTTTAATAGACTATACAAACGGATTATACAATTTAAATATTTTTAAAGGAATGAACATTCACTTATTTTGTTTCCAAATAGGCCCTATGTTTGAAAATAAAACATCAAAATGGGGACAGTATTTTACACTTAGTGTATCGAGCATAATGTCTTCTCTATATATGTTTTTTGAGGCCTACATTTTTTTGTCATCATTTAAAGAGCAGATATTTATCGTTAGACCTATACTGTCACGAAAACAGGCACGCCTAACAGACTATTATAACCAAACCTCGATCAGCTTAAAAATCAAACCAACAAAATAACCAGAATGCTGTTAAACTCAAACATTCTTAAATATGAGCGTTAGAACCTTATAAAAGCAACTAGCACTTTCTTTTCAACAAACTCGTTTTAATAATAATAAATAGGCTATAGCCTATATATTTTTTATTTGTCAGATTTTGCGAAAAAAATACGGACAAAATGATAATAAACAAAAACAACAACCCAGAGCAACAGTTACATATCTAAACCACATACAGTAGGCGATTAAAAATAATTAAACATACCTGATGGTTAAAATTACTCCAATCCAAAAGCCCAAGATGTATGTTGCGCCGAGCACCTGTCTGTTTATCTTCAAACATGCCAAGAGAGTGACCCTCCATAAACAAACAGCAACAACAAAACACTGAAATATCGACCGACTTTACAGTATGATAACAGCAATTGGAGATGATTGACTTTTAGGAGAAACAGAGTTAACTGCGATGACACCAGAGGAAAACTGATTTGCATGCTGCTCAGGGAAGTGTGAGGTTTGCTGAGGGAGAACAAGGAGGAGGTGAAGCGTTTTTTGAGCTGGGAGAAGAAGAGAGGCGGTAGCGCGCACATAAGCGGGAAACCTTTTCAGCTGGATAATGTGAAAAGGTACTACATTGCCCAGTACACATACTAAAATACAGATGCGTGAGATAAAACATTACCATCTTATTATAACATTATTAATGATGAAATAATAAAATATAATGATATTAGAAAATGTAGCCTATTCAAATGTACCAAATATTTTCACCGATACAAAATGCAAGATATATAAATTGTTGCAAACAATTTGCCACACAGGCGCATGTACTACATGCACAGCACGCAGAAAAAAATAAAACACACTCATGAACTACAGTTCCCAGAAGGCAATACACTGCAGACGCATGCTGATTGGACAGCAACTTCATGTCGTCATCGTCCCACACAAACAAACTAGTAGCAACAGCAACAGTTGAATCAATAGCCTGTGCCCCGAAGTAAATCATGCGAAGAAAAAAACGTTTTTAATCTGCTTTTGGGACTTTTCGCGGCTCTCATATGATATACAAAAGGAGGGAAATTGCCATTAGCGGTAAGTGTGCCATTGAGGGTGAAATAATGAAGGTTAGTTACCTGCAAAGTTGCTAGTAGCGATGCTAACGTCAGTGAATGATGGAGTGACAACTAAGAGCTAACTAGTAAGCTAGTGTTAGTCTCTCTATTTTGTGCCGTAGACATTATTTAAAATATGTCGATAGCTAAACTATGAAATGGCAATGAAGACGCGAAATAGACTTGGTTTATGTGTTGCCCTTAGTTTGCCTTAGCCACTACTTTTATTGTGAGCCAGCTAGCTTCGATAACTACCTGTGGCTGATTTCTCCCTGCAGTGTTTGTATGTTGAAACTTACTTTTTCAGTTTTCTGTCTTTTATGCAGTGCTTTCCCTTTTTATAATGCATGTTCTTGCATAAGAGAACAAAACAAAACGTAATGTGTTTGTAAGCTCTCTGTGTGTTTGAAGCGTATTTATTTATTAGTCTTATGGCGCCATCACGTGTTAACTGTAAGGAATTACACCAGGTGACTCGAGCAGTAAGTCAAACCAGTGATGACCGTTTTTGTGAAGTTAAATGTTAGAGGAAACTAATTTAGGCGTTTATCTCATGATAATGTGTTCTCTTTTTTCATTTTCAACAGCCGTGATTGTAAGATGAATTTCTCTGAGGTTTTCAAGCAGTCCAACCAACTGTGTAAAGTTTCCCCAGATGGGAAATGTTTGGTAAGTGGTTTAGTTAAAGTTATATTTGCACAATTCTAGTTTTTAAGTATGTTTGCTGCGTTGAAGTAGGTTATGCAACTTTAAACTATTATGTGATTCCCCTGATTAATTTCCCAATTTGGGATGAATAAAGTATCTATGTATTTATCTATCTATCTGTCGATCTATCTATCTATCTAGATCGATATATAGATACTAGATAGATCTATCGATCTATCTAGATTGCTAGCTACAGGGATACAACTGAAGTGTGTTTCAAGTCTTCTCTCCCATGTGTCTCTTTGGCTGTACCTGCTAGGCTACCTGTGTGCAGTACAGGCTGGTGGTGCGAGATGTGGGGACCCTGCAGATCCTGCAGCTCTACACCTGCCTGGACCAGATTTCCCACATGGACTGGTCTTCTGACTCTCTCTTTATCCTCTGTGCTATGTACAAGAGGGGACTGGTACAGGTAAGCTATCGGTGGAAGACAGTAATGTGAATATGTGATTCAACATGGTGTGGGAATGCTTTTAGTTATGCACTCAAGGTAGAAGACCTTACTCAGCTGGGTTGATTTAGTGTAATCTTGCTCTCCTTTATACAATATCTTTATACAAATTGGTCTGGCAATATGAAAGGATCTCTTTGGGCTCCAATAGCTTTTGCTAATCATTTGCTGTGACACTTTGGATCAAACTATAAACTATGAATTCTAATGAGTCCTTGAAATATGAATTGGCAACCAAAATGGTTTGTTTGGACCTTAAAACATTATGTGTAGTAATGCCCAAGCAAAACACCATCTTTCTAACCATTTTTGGATCCCTCAAAATGTTTTAAAATACTTTAGGCAGGCATATTCAAATTTGTTGTCATATACATATAAAGCAACATTTTATAGACAAAGAAGATGAATTATGGAAAAGTTAAGTTGCTGATATATGTACTGCATTGAACTACAAGGGATAATGCCAATAATGTATTACATCCTGTGTTTATATAGTCAAACTGAGTACTGTTTAAAAATAAGGTATGAAAAGATGTACGATTTGACTTATGAAGTTGGTTTAACAGTGATTCTTATAATTGTTTTTTCTTTTCCTTGATACAAACAAATATTTGGATTGATAAACCATACTGTTTATGTATTTTGTATCTTTACTCTAACTTATACCAGGCCCCTTTATCTTTTTGAGGGCTCAAAAATATGTCCATATTTATTTTAAGTTGCACCCTTATTGGCAGAAAGAACTTACCATAATTACGTTTGTTTCTTTTAAAAAGCTGCAGTAGAAAAGAAGAAGCTTTGCATGCTACAGTAATACCAGTTTAATGAGCATCACAGGGCGAGTAACTCACCTTTGAAGGGGTGTCCATCGCCAGTCTTTCATGGTGTCTGAATCTCAAGTATTTCTTATTGTTTGAAATCAAGTTGAGTGAACTGCAGGATGTGTGAAGGATGTCATCAGTGATGGCTGATCGCTGTCCTTCTGTCACTCTCTGTCTTTCTCTTCAGGTGTGGTCGCTGGAACAGCCAGACTGGCACTGTAAGATTGATGAAGGCTCAATAGGACTAGTCTCCTCGCGCTGGAGTCCAGATGGACGTCACATTCTCAACACCACTGAGTTCCATGTAAGTGTGAAGTTGGTGCGTGCATGGGTGCGGGCATTCATGCCCACGGAAGTGTGTTTATACATATGCTTGTCTGGTTTCAACTGTTGCTGGCTCGCAAGGAAGGGGGACCTGAAAATAGCCAGACACCAGAGCTTGTCTTGACCGCCCCTACACCCCCCACCTGCCGCATGTATTCAGCCTGATTTCATAGTTCCCCTCCTGTTAGCGTCCTGTCATACACAGGTCTCAAGTACCTCTGGAACATGGGTGCAATGTGTATGAGCCCTTCCAATGTATGTCTGGTATTTCCGTTGGCAGCAAATCCATTTGATGATGTACTAAGTTCAGGAACAATAGGAAATAACACAAAAAGAACACCCAAACCAAAACGGCAGAGTAATGTAAACGGATGAAAGCATGCAGTCATAAACCAAGTTAGTTACAGTTTTGAAAAATGTGTACTTCAATTAATACAAGCCTTCGCTGTTGAATTAATATAAGGGCAAAATTGGGTTATGCAGTGCCACATCTGAAGATGAACTTGACTTGAACTGAACTGTCCTCATGTCAGTGTCAATTACTTAATTACAGCAGGCCTGGTTCGCAATGTTTAAGGCTGATGCCTATGTTATAGAGTTTATAACAATCAGGTATTCCATACTGCAATCTGTCAACCAATAACTCTGTCATATGCAAATATCTGCCATGACGGCCAGTGCAGAGGCATCGGCATGGATAGAAATGTTTGGGGTTAGGTGCTTCTTAACTGTCTCATTTGAGAATTTAGAAACCGCTTCAATAAAAACAGATACAGATACATATGAATATATTTGAGTTTTGCAAAGTAAAAATGATTGTAGTCAAAGAGCCAGACTGTAACCTTGAGGAACACCAGCTTCAAGAAATAGATGAGTTTGGCAGTAACACATGATGCTTTTCAAGTTTCATTCTCAAGTTTTGATTTCCATAATAATACAGAGCATTACTGGGATAAATTATTTCATACCACATCTAATGTTGAATAAAGTACAACAAGTGTACACATGGAAACATTTAATGGAATTACTTTGTTTGTTTTCTATTTTATGTAAATAACATTTCAATTCACTTCATAGTAAGCATGTGTTGTTAGGGGTGACAAGCTATAGCAGCTACCCTTGGGTAATTTGTAATATGATTGGGGCACCATGGAGGGCTGTGTCAGTCATGCTGAACCTGACTCCAGGAATCATTTGACAGGTGTAGTGGCCAAACACACAACACTGTCTGGTCTGGAGAAGGGTGCAGGGGGTGCAAGTGTCTGTGGCATGTCTGCTTTGTGTCTGTCTGCATCTTTAACAACAACAAAAGAGGGTATGGGATAAGCATAGCACTGTGTCTTATGTCTTAGAAAAAACAACTTGATTTGCAGAGATCTTTGAGCACATAAAACATTATATTCGTTGTTAATTGTATGGTTTGTCAATCCCTGACATACAATATTGTGAACATGTTATCCATTCTTCATTCTTGTCATGGCAAAATGTTTTATAAATCCTTAATTGGTATTGTTTAACGTTGACTAGCTTGTCATGGTAACGCATAACAAAACTTCCCCTCTCCTGGAGTTGAGTGCAGCAGCTGGGCGTAAGCTGGGCGTAACTCTACGTCCAACGTAGAACCGAAGGTTAAGACCAAACTAAAGTTATGACTAGTGCACCACTTATACTTAAGCCCTGTATGCGTTGCGCCCGGGTGTAACTTTTACGCCTAGTATGGAGCAGGCGTAAATCGGAAAGAGAGACTAGTATCCATAGTAACGTAAAACAGGCAAGAAGGAAAATAACTATGGCAGTGCGTCTTGTTTGCATGTTGTAACAACGAAAGGGCATTAAGACGAGAGAGTCGTCCGTGATCGAACAAACCCACTGGACATCTATTTAGTGAGCTGATAGAGAGGTTTCGTTTCGGCAGACAAGCCCTTTTTGATTTAATCGAGGAGATCTCCCCTCAACAACAGAACGGATCAGACAGAAACGCTGCGCTCTCCCCAACCTTGCAGGTGCTGATTGCGCTCAGATTTTACTTTAATATTGTGGGAGACATAATTAATGTTCATCGCACAACTGCATGACGGGCTATTAGACAAGTTTCCTTGGCTCTCCAGCGCCGCCTTAGGAATTATATTCACTTACCAACACAAGAAGAAGCAGCAAAATCCTCCTGGCATCCGTGAAGATATCAGTGGACGAGTTAACCACAATCACATAATAAACAACATATAGCCCTGTATATTTGTAATATGAACGCTGTTTTTTTGCAATCGCATTTCAATAAGCTCACATTGTGACCACATATTTCCATTAGGCCGTTTTATAGCCTATTTTATTCAAAAAACACACACAAGAACATTAGATAACAACATTTGGAGAACTATTAACATGAAATTGAGATAAAAACAAATACAACAAATATGATTAGAGAATAGTGAATGACGAATTGTCTTCTTCAGTGATTCTTTGCTGATTCTTAAGAATTATAATTTTGAGTCTTAATCTATCCTTCTCCAGCTCAATGTTGTCATGTTCCGCTCTCAGTTTTGCGGTCTCCACCTCCACACGAGCGATCTCTTTCTCCACCAGTTCACGCTGTAGCTCTGTAAAATCCCTCTTTCTTTTTCGGGGTGTTGGCGTCATTTTTCTGTTCTTTTGGTTTCTGTTATCCATGACTTCGTTATCCAAGTCTTAGCTTGCTCTGAATGGAGGAGTTCGAGTGTTAAATTATGTAGACGTGTGTTGCTTGGCAACAATTACTGTTTTGCGTGTATTCACGTGGACGCGCATCTTAAGACCAGGCGCAGCTACGAGACTAGTCAGGCTTGGTGCACTCGGTGTAAATTCGAATCACTAAGTCGGACGTAGCTAAGCCCGACGTTAGAGTTAAGACCTACTTTTTTACGCCCAGCTGGTGCACTCCACTCCTGAGCTGTTGTGTATAAAAAATGTGCATTGCCCTCTGCCCTTATTACTCGACCAAATTTTAGCAAGAAGTTAAGTGCTGTAGTTACTAAGCATCCTCTGGTAATTGAGGTTAAAAGACTAATTCAATAGAGGCAAAGTTGGCACAGGATGCCACATTTTCAAGGGGCCCACTGAACTTACCTTCACCTCAGCCCAACATTTCATTAAGGCTGTGCCAGACGGGTTTTCGTGTCAGGTTTGAATTTCAGCCCCACTCATAAACAGCCTGCTATATTAACTTGTTTAGGGACAGCTGCTTGTGGTGTGGATCGTGCCACTGTGTGTATGTGTGTGTTGGTTATGTGTGTGTTTGTCTGTCTATGTGTCAGTAAATCTGCTTGGCTAGCTGTGTTGTAGCTGTTACAATATCTGTTTTCTTTTTAAATCCATATGTACTATTTTTAGATCTTTCTGATTTGCATGAACATATTTTATCAGTACAGGAATTACAAAGCATAGTGTCTCTCTAGCACTAACATGGATCACAATGGCAGCCTTAGACATACTACAGCTAAGCACTTATTTTCCAGTGAGTTAGAAATACTCTTGATCTTTCAAGCTTCAAGTAGAGCTATGTTTTTGGAGGCAGACGTGTTAAAAAGCACCAGTTGTTTTTAAATATGGGATGGCGCCATGTCACAGATTTAATAGATCAATAGTCTCATTGCTGAAATCTAGTCTAGGTATTGTGAGACTTCACGCAATGTGTCTCCTAGTTGAATTCCCATCGTTTATCTTAGGAGCTCACAAAATGCCACTCACACATCCATGTTAATCCACCTTTACCAGCTGAGGGGTGATAAACTGCGAGTGGAAAAACACCAGCCAAGGACATCATTAAACTTCTCTAATGGTTTTTACATTGTAGGGATCAGATTAGTGATAGCATTCTTGGCAAGTACTGCTTGAGCCTTGCTAACGTGTAGCATTGTTGGCAACTGCGCTACCGGACTGCGAACGTATGCAGCTGCAACGCGGAACAATAGCTCTGCCATACCTATGTGTGGGCTGCCAGGGGCTCCAGTTCCTTGGCAGAATCATGAGGCTGTAACAGGAGAAATAGGCTATATTGGTTGGAGATGGCTTCCTATGTGGAATGCCTGAAGTCTAAGCCTCTGTTGACAGAAAGGCCTATATGGCATCAAATGCATTCGCTCATTCTCTAGCACTCGAAGAAGAGCGCAACAAGAATGGCTGACAGAAAGGTTTATTCCAGTTTGCTGTCACTTACTCTGGTCTACAATGTATCATTGCCCAGAGCCTGTCCTGTTGGAAAAAGTTCCCTAAGTATGTGTTTATCTTGTGACGTATACCTGCTAATAGATTCAAAGTGGATGTGATGGTAGATATTAGCTGCAATTTTTCCATTTGGCAGTGCCTTAAGAAGATTGTCTTCTCATAACACATCAAGGGAAGATTATTTGTGCAGCTCGTAATCAGAGTTACAGCCACAAACAACTTTGCTAGGACCTTAATAAATATATA